AAACCTCCCACCCTCCCTTATCTGCATCTGTCTGCATCCACCCCAGCTCTCTTAAGCCACAGTAAGCTGCTCCCAAAGCAGCATGGCTGTAGGATGGCCTGAGGTGACCCCTTATGGGGGGGTCTGAGCCCCATCCTCATCCACAGACATGAGCCCTGGGAGCAGCTTACTGTGGTCATGCTGGTAGCAGCACTGCACTCACTTTTGATGGAGTGTCCATGTGAGGAGTAAGCCTGAAAAAGGCTACAGCTCAAGCTGGTGCTCCACGTGGGGCTCTGGGGGACCCTTTCTCCTTACGTGCTGAGGGTGCCTCTGTTCCTAGCCCTAGGCTTGTGTTGTCAGACTCGGTGTGTGCCAGCTCCCACACCATCCCTGGATGCCATGGGATGCCACGTGCTGCCCCTGCGAGCTGGTGCACGGATCCGAGCAAGCCAAGGCCAAAGGAGAGGAGAACCACTCCCTGCATTCTTGGTGTAATTCCCAGAACCTTCCTGCTCAGCCAAAGCTGCTTCAGGTCCCCATGCCTGGCGCTGAAACATCAGCACAGCCATCCTGTGAGTTCAAATCAAACCCCAGGATGCTGAACAGAGCCGTGGCCGCTCTGCGGACCCCTCCAGGCAGGAGGAAGAGGAGGAAGCCCAGCACTTCGCATGGTCTTGCAGGTGAGGAGAAGCCTCCTGCCCTGTCCAACCTCTTGGGCAGCTCCTCTGTCCCAGTAAAACAGTGACACTGATGTGCCTGCAGCAGCCATATGGCACAGCAGCACCTGGGTACTGACATCTCCAAAGCACGAGGTGGTGCACGCAGGGTTATACTGCGTTGTCATCATCAGAATTATGCCATACCTACCTCTTAGGCTTCCTCACCCTGTGCAGCCCCTTGTCGGGCTGCACCTTCTATGTTTTCTGCAGACAGGACTAACTCCTGAGTAAACATAGCATGCCAAATCCAGCACACAAAGTGCAAACCTCACGGGCTTCAGTGGGGGAAGCAGGCACTGCTCAGTGCCCACAGGGAGCCCTGCAAAAACAAACCTCACTTTGTCCTCCCCCAGCTCACTTTTCACAGCAGCCAGGTAACTTCAAAGATAAAGAGGAGCCAAGAGCAACCTCACAACAGCAAGCCAGGATGATGGAAGAAGTGGATGGAAATCAGAGCATGAAAGAGGTGATTTATAGGGAATAAAAACTGCAGCAGGAAAGGTAAACAATACTGGTTCTTCTAAAGATGAGCTGTGGAGTGGTTCAGTGGTGAGCTGGCACTGGGTACCCCATGTTCCCCATGCTGCATGGAGTTGTGAGCATCCCTTGGATGGGTTTCTACTGGGATCTCATTCAACTTGTGCCCCCAGATCCAAGCTGGCAACTATGAGGAGGAAGCCCACAAAGGCCTGATTTGCTCTGCCTGCCTTTAACATCCCATTTCTCCAGCAGAAGCAATTGCTGGAGTATAAAGCTGATTGTATGGACCGTGCAGCATGGTGAATGGGCTCAGCCTGCACACAGACACAGCACGGCAGCAACTGCAAATCAGGCGACTTTCACCAGAGCTTCAAGTTAAAAAGAGAAAGAAAAAAAAAAAGAGAGAGGAGAAAAAAAAAAAAAAAGGAAAAAAAAAAGGAAAAAAAGGAAAACACAATCCAGGCTCTGCCTTGGCCAAACCTGGCCCTTTTAAGGAAAGGAAATTTCCCAGAGCCACTCTCGACAAACCTAGAGGCCCAATCCTGCTCTCAGGAATGCCAGTGCAAATCTAGAACAGCTCTGCCGGCCACTGGGGGGGTTATGGCAGCTGTGCGTGCATCCAGCCCTGCAGGGAAGCTCCTGCCCTCCCCCTGCTCTCTCCCCAGTGCGGAGCGTGCACTGCAACAGCCAGGGAACAAACTCCAGGTTGAAATGCACTCAGCATCGGAATGGTCTGCCCGCCAGCTTCAAGAATTTGTCCTTTTTGCTGAGCCACGATCTGGAAGCCCCAACCCTGTTTTGCTGCGAGCTGCGTGCGATAAAACAGCCGCGTCCCTGGGCTGGACGGCTGCTACAGAGGGGCCACATGTTTTGCTTAGGGCATGTCCGAAGTGCTTCCTCGAGTTCAGACTTCCTCTGCTCAAGGGGCTGCCCACTGCAGAGCCCAGCGGAGCGATGCCAGCAGCTTCAGTGGGTTTTTTTGGTAGCAGCCCTCTGCCAACTTCTCCCAGGGAAGCAAAAGGAATTGGGGGCAAACCTGCTTCCGCCCCAGCCCCTGTTTATGTCAAAAATCTGCAAGGGAAAAGCTACAGCGATGAGTAAAACGCTCATGTTCCCTTCTCATTAGTGTTAAAGGTCTGGATGTAAACCAGATGTAAATGGGCTCTGCTGCAGAGGGTATCCTGCCACATTTTGGGGCCAGATCTGACCGGCCCCATTTCCTGCTAACAGCAACGTGGGCATTCAGCTTTCCAGCCAACCACTGTGCAGCACGAGAGCCAGGGACCACAGCAAGCAGCCTCAAAAACGGGAACTGCCAGCAAAGTCCACGGCCCTGAGCTGCACTCCCCCCATTCACAATCCGTTTCAGCATCTCCTTGCTTCTGCTCGGCCCACTACAACCACTGAGCTGAACAGCTACAACCTTAGAGCTGAAGAGCAAGCGAGTGGGAAGGTTCAGAGGAGAACCAAGGCACCCCAGCATCCAAACATGCAGTGCACAAGGCAACGCAGGTTGCCACCGGGCCCACAAGGCACCCAGCACCTGAGAAAGCATCTCTAGGAGGTGAGTGGGGTGCGAGACAAACTCAGGGATGACCCCTGGAGAATGGGTGGGAGATGGAGGTGAAGCTGAGCTGGGGCGTTTGGGTGCTCTGCAGCCAGTTCAAAGGCTCTGCTGTAGGGCTGTGCGTCACTTGCTGAGAGAGAGAATATTGTTTTTGGAGAAGGGAGGAGGAGGGGGAAGCCAGCAGTGGGGAAGGAGGAGGAAAAATTTGGTGAAGGAGGAGGGGCAGTTCGCATGGCTCCTGAGCACCTGCATAGTGCGTGGCAGGAAGGAGGCAGGGAGACCCTGCCCTGCAGACAGGCTGCTTTTGTTGCATCTCAAACGGGCCTCGATTACGTCTGACAGAAAGAGGGCAGAGTCCCACACAGCTCGGACAAAACCCCCGAGCTCAGCAAGACCTGGAGAGCTTCGGCACGGCGGGGAGAGGTGTGAAGCTCCGCGAATCGCCCTCTGCAGCGCCCCGTGCCTTGGCCAGGCAGCCCCTTCCCAGCTGCAGCCATCTCCAGAGCCTGGAGGCCACCGCGGCTCCACGGCAGCCCTCCCTGCTGCTCCCTTGCCCATCTTTGCCCAGCGCAGCCCTGTGCCCAGCTACGGGGTTTGGCCACGGCCCTGCGCCCATCCCGGCGTGTTGTGCCAGCTTCTAAACAGTTAAAACCACCAGAACCAGACCGCAGCGGTTCCCTCGTCCGCAGATCCCTCCAAAAAAGAAAAGCAACGATCCTCTTATTCTCTCCTCCACCCACCTGGGCCGCCTCCTGGCACCCATCCCATGCCCACGACCAGCGCGAGGCTCGGGGGGCTGTGGGCTCCCACCACGCTCGCCGCGGCTGCCATGTTGAATTGCAAATCCGACATGAGTCGACATCTTTTTTTCTCCCCTCCGTGGTGGAAGCACAAAGCACCCGCGTGGGGGGACGGCGGTGAGCGGGGCGAGAGGAAAAAAGCACCTGGAGCGGTGCTGCGAGGTGGGACGCGAGGGCGCATCCCTCCACATGGAGCCATTCGAGTCTCAGCACCGCGGGCTGCGGGGAAGGGGCTTTTGGGGAGAAGGCGGATTGCAGCAACAACAAAGCGCCGGGCGGAACGAAACGGTATTTCAAATCAAAGGCAAAAAGCACCCCAACCAACCAACCAACCGACCAACCAAAAAAATGAAGAGCGAGGTTCGATTCCGTACCGAGGCAGCGAGAGGGACGCACCGCCGGCAGAGTGGTTGTGTTGTGGAGCAGTGGCTGCTTTCAGCTCCGCTTATCCGGACAGTCACCAGGGAAGGATCCTTTTCCGAGAAAGGCCAGTTGGAGTGAGACAGCTTTTTTTTTTTTTTTTCCCTTCTCTCGCTTGCTCTCTCTCCCCTTTCCTTCTCCTCTCAGCTCAACGCCAAGAAATGGGCGGTGCCTGGATGCCAGGCTCCATCCGAACGAGACGCCGAAGGCCGGGGCAGGCTGGCACAAAGGCGAGCTGGCAGGAATTCCTGCACTCCGGCGCTCCGAAAATCCACTCTGAAGAGTTCTGCCCCATTTGGCCCCGAAGGGCACGAGCACGGGGCGGGGGGAACGGGGGGCGAATAATAATGATAAAGAATGGGGCAGAAATAAAGCTGGGACCTTCCTGTGCCTCGACCCAGGTTAAACAAAAGGCCTGGGGACGTGGATAAGGCGCTGTGCCCCCCCCCAAGAGCCGTGTGCTCTTTCCCGCCCGCACGCCCCCTCATCCCGCCTCGCGCTCGGTGCAAAAAAGGGCCAAAAAAAAAGAAAAAGGGAAAAAAGCCGAAAGCGACGCGTCCGCCATGAGGGCAGCATGGCAGCAACCGCCTCCGACGGGGCAGATCGAGGGCGGTTTGTGTGTTTTAGGGCGTATTTGGGGCCTTTTTGTCGCTGCCGCGAGCACATGGGTTCGCCGATGATAAAAAGGGAGTCCCGGCGGGCTGGGGAGGGGGGCCGAGGGGCTGAGAGCGCTGCTGGGGAGATGCCAAGAGCACGGAACAAAACACGTTTTCATCTCGCCCGCACCAGGGGCCGAGGGGCGGCCGTGCACCCCGCAGCCTCCCGGGGAGCGGCTGCCAAGCCCGCCTTGGCACGGCTCCCCAAACAAAGCCGTCACCCATCCCCGAGCAGGCGCTGACAGTAAGCAAAGTGACAGGCGCATCTCCCGCATCTTAATCCAAACGACGAGGAGCGAGCGGTGCCAGCATCCTCCCCCCCTCACCCCCCCCCCCCCCCTCCCCACACCCCCCTTTCCCCACATGCACGCGGACCCCCGGCCCCGTCCACCCCACCCTTGGCACCCGTCGGCCTCGTGCGGGGCCTTTCCTTTGGGCGGGTTTAAATCAAAACAAGCGGCCGAGCTTCGGGGGGCGAACGAGGCCGCTCGGCGTCGGCGGTACCTGCTCCGTTCCCGCTGTCTTCCTCTCGCCTTGGATGCGTGACAAGAGCCAACTCGCCTCTGGTGGGCTCTGGGAGCCGCGGGGCTGTAACCCTTTGCAGGAAGTTGGCACGGCTCCCAGGTAGGACTCGACTCCCACATGGCTCCCCCCAGCAGCCGCCGCCGCTGCTCCCTCCCTCCTCTCCCCACCCGGCTCTGCCCCCAGGCCCGGCGTTGCCCCACGCTGTTGCCCATGGGGCTGCCCCACGCGTTGCCGCTCTTGCACACGTACCCGTGAAGGATGACCTGGGCAACACCGAGAACAACAACTTCCTGCTCCGGCTCCCTCCAACGCCTGTTTCCACGCGGTGTGCGGCGAGACGGGGGGAGCTGGGAGGAGGTTTGGGGGTTTGTCGTCATTGAATCATGCTTTTTTTTTTTTCCTTTTTTTTTTTTGACCGTATATATGTATATATATATAAATTCTTTTTTGTTTTTTTTTGCTGGACCCGACGCGAAAGGAAGAAAAATGGGAAGAGAACAGCTCCAAGCCAGCAAGACAATGCATGGGGGACAGGAGATTTGCACAGCTCTAGGGATCCATCTCTCCTGCCCCATTTCGGAACCCCACGCCTCATCCATGCGGTGCTCCTGAACGATTCCAGTCCGCAGTCCGGAGTCCCTCCGAGCTGCCAAGAGCATCGCAACAGGAAAGAAAGAAAGAGCGAGAGGGAGAGCGAGGCAGAGTCCTCACAATCGAGCAGCGAGAAGAGCAAGGAGAAATTAACATCCAATTAGCGCCGTGTTTAACGAGGGAGACAGAGGCGGCTGTTGTTTTATTGCCCTGTTCTTTTCAGGCACATCTGACAGGCAGCGGGGAAGGCACCCCAGCTCGAAGTGACGTCATCATATTTTATTTTTTTTTTATATCTTTTCTATTTTTTCCTTTTCCCCCCGTCTTTCCTCCTTCCAAGTTGCCAGGCGAGGTCTCGGCAACCGCGGCCAGGGCGACGCGGGGCTTCGAGCCGACGGCTCCGGCCTCCATCCATCCATCCATCCCCCCTCCCCAGCAGCGGCCCTGCAAAACAAACACCAACCCCGGCCCGAAGTCTTTGTTCTTCCAAACAATTAAAAAGAAAAAAAAAAAAAAAGAAGGAAAAAAATAAACATTCAGGTCAAGCCGGAGGGAACCCGGAGGAGGTTCTGCTCAGCGTGTCCCTGCGTCCGTCTCGCTGCCGTTCCTCTCCCGAGCCGGCTCTCTCTCGGCTTGTAAAACTTTGCTGCATGTGACGCTGCTCCCAACCTCCTTTGGCAGAGTGACAAGAACCGCGCTGCCGGGATCGGAGAGCGCAGGCGGCTTTTAAGGAAGAAACTCAATTCGCCCAGATTAGAGAATTAGGGATGTTTTAATCAAGGGACAGCGTGGGGTTGCCAGCGGGCGGCCGGGAGGGACGGCAGCGGGGTGAGCGGCCGTGAGGACGGCGATGCCGTGGCCCCGTGTGGGGCTGTGCTGTGGGGAGAGGAGCTGCGCCGCGAACCGGGGAGACTTAATGTCGTGGCCTCGGCTCTCTCCTCCCCCCGGGGCGGGGGGGCCATGCGAGCAGGGTGGGAGGAAGGCCCGACGGGGTCTCGTCGCAGGGAGGAAGCAAGGCTGCGGGGCCCCCGTGCTGCTGGATGGGGAGGAGGGGGGGGGGTCGGCTGGGGGAGCGGGCAGAGTTTCCTCCGAATGGCTGTGTGCAAAGCAGGGGGTGTGAAATGCTGCTCGACACCTCCTCGGAGCTGCCCGCAGAATGCGGCTGTGCGTGGGGACACGCGGCTGCATGGAGAGAGGCTGCACCCATCGCTGCCTCTCGTCCTCATCTCCGGCTGGATTTCCCTCTGATCCCTCCCTCTGCCTCTCTCTCTGTGCCCCCAGCAGGTCCTGCTCGATGCTCTCCATCACCTCCCACCTCCCTCCTGCCCGCCGTGAGAGGGGACAGCTCTGTGACCACCGTGCCCCAGTCCCAATTCCCCACCCTGAACCCTTCCCAGCAGGACTGGGCTGCACCAGTCGCCTCTCCAGGGGTTATTTTTATTATTAAGGAACTATTTGCCTCTGTGGAGCTCCCTGCTGCAGGAGAGCTGCACAAAGAGACTCAGAGGGCAGCACTGCTGCGGGGCATTGCCTCGCTGCCCATAAGCCTAACGCTGCAGTGACAGCACTGGGAAAGGTGTGCTCAGGTCTTTGTCTTAGCTGAAGGGCTTTTAGAAGCAGAGCTCTGCAGGGGAAAAGGCCCCAGGGGGGCTCAGGGCTGCCTCGACCTGAGTTTCCCTCTCCCAGCTTCAATCTCTGTCTCCTTTGTCCCCTCGGCAGCTGGGAGCAGATGAGGCCAAAGTCCCGATAATCTCCGCTTTCCACTGGGGAACGATAAACTGCAGGCACAGGGCGGTTGCAAACTCCACCCATCCCATTTTCTGTGCTGGAGAGTCAATATTTAAACACAAGTTTGCTTCCTGGCCAGATAGGAGAACGCCAGGGCCGTGCATGGGTCCTCAGCGTGGGACCCAACCCTCCTTCCATCCCACTTCATTTGTTCTCCCAACTGCAGTTTCAGCCCTGAGCTCCTCTGTTGTAGCAGCAGGGCCTCATCCTTGTCACCTGTGCTGCAGGAGCTGGGCATCCAATTAACAGGCAGCAATTAAAAGGGAGGGGCTGGTGATGTTTTCTCCTTGCCTGTTCCTGGTGCAGCTGCTGTCCCAGTAGAGGGACACCTCAAAGGAAGCGAGGGACAAGAAGAACCAGAAAGCAGGAGGTAAGGAAGTTAAGGACCGTATGAGTGACAGCCCCTGCTCTGATGTCAGGCTGGGGTTGTGAATGACCTCCTGTGTGCTACCTAAAGGCCTCTGAAACCTGGTTTTCATCTAAAATGGGTTGAAAGCTGCATTTAAGAGTTGTTTCGAGCAAAGTTTGTGAGCCACGGTGAATTGAAGAGAGGTGGTTAAAAGAAATAGTGCTTCTCAATTGCAGCCAGGGTGCGTGCAAGGTGAAGGTGCTACAGGAGGCTTTACAGAGGTGTGACCAGCAGAAGGTGGCCTTTATTTGGAGGATAAAGACCAAGTGCCCGATGTGGGCTGTGCAGCACCTGATGTTGAGATATACAGGAAATCAGCTCCTGTGTTAAAAGAAATGCCTTAAATGGAGACCCTTCCTGAGCAAAGGAGCCCGTTGTACAAAACAGATTAACATTGCCTTAGAAAAGAAAAAGAAACAAGCAAGGAGAGTCATTTTATAGCTGTATTTTGGAGCATAGTTAAATCCTCTTTAAAACAATTTCTGTTAAGGGGTCAGGGCCATGCATTGAGTGTTGTTACTGTAACACAAACCTTACTGGAGCAGGGGGGGAGGACAGACAGGACCGACTTCACAACACCAAAGGGAGCTTTTGGGGACAGCAGCTTCCACGTGTGCTGCTGCTGCCCCTGCCTGCAGCCTGCTCAGGGCCCCAAAACCTCTTCCCAGGGAGTGCAGTAACACACTGAACTCTGTGCAAAAGACTGCTTCGTGGGGAACTGAAGTGGGGGAAATCTGCCTGGCTGTGGTAGCAGCACAGACCGGTGGGGGGGAAGGGGAGGAACAACAATAATTCTGTCTAGGAATTGAGGATAAATCCTGCACTGCTGTCACAGGTGAGCCCTGCTATGCAAGGGCCTGCCGTGTCACTGCATGTGTGAGAAGCCTGTGGCTCTGTTCCCAAGCCTTTGGCTGGCTGAGATTTATTCCTTTGCTTCAGCCAGCGATGGGCCTGGTGCCTCTATTGCAAGACAAACCCTCCTGCTTGTAGCAGTTAGCAGATCAACACCTCCAACAGCCCAGCACCATAACGGGACTCTGTGCTCCTCCATCAGCGAGTGGCGATGCCGCCCTGGGGGGGAGATGCTCATGTGATGCAGCATGATCCAGCATGGAAACACTGCACCTGAGCAGGGGCTGATCCAACCAGGGACCAAACCCTTCCCTTAGAAATGTGCACGCTGCCTGCAGTACACACAGCTTCCCTGGGCTTGAAGTGCATCCTAAATGCGCTCCTCCCAGTGCAAAAGGCTTTCCCACAGCAGACACCGTGTGCCACGCACATCCTTAAGTGCCTTCTCCATCTTCTGATGCTGTCCTGGAGTCAAGTCATACCTTTCTCTTAAAGACACGTGTTGTACTTCATTGTAGTGGGACTGTTTCTCTTTTCTGTTTTGAAATTATTACTTCCCTTTCATGCCCAAGGGAGCTGGGCTGCTCCCTAGAGTTCAGATACCCTGAAGTATGCGTCTCAGTCTTGAGTAGCTTGAGTACAAGCTACCTGCCACACACATCAGCCCTCTCCACGAGACACAAGACAGGAGCTGGTTGTGCTGCTGCTGCTTTCTCAGCAGGGCAGCCCTGGATCTCTTGCCACTTCTCAGCTTAGGCAGAACGAAGCAGTCTTTTGTCCCTGCATCCTGGGCTGGTTTCTTTAGCATCCGGGCATTTTCTGCTTTCACAGGCTTTCCCAGTATCGTCAGATTCACAGCCCAGACCAGAGAAACATCCTTCTGCTCTCTCTCCTATGCATCCTGATCAAGATAGCCATGAGGAAGGGGCTTTGACTCGGCTGGAGCCTGAAGCCAGATCACTGCAGGCCAACTGGTGGTTGGCCTTGCTGGAAAGGAGGTGCCTTGTTCTGGCACCACAGACTTTGGATCAAAAAGAACAAATATACAAATGGAAACAAGCTTAGGGTTCTTCAAGGAGTCCAAGTTCGTACTTCTCCCTGCAAGCTGGGGTCAGTCGATAGGGAAGCAGGCTGCTTGCATGGGTGCTCTGCGGAAGAGCAGGCTGGAGCCACGGAACAGCTGCCCCTGAGGAGGAAAACAATGGCGTTAGGGCATCCATGCTGAAGTGCTGCTTTGCTGCTAGGTTAGCAGGGAAGGAATGAGACGTGTCTGCTGCAGGGCTGCCAGCCCTGAGCACCCCAGGTTGCTACAGAAGAGAAAGTGGGGCTTCAACCCTGGGAGCACTGGGGTCAGGCACTTCTAACAAGGATGCCTGACAGGGCAGAGCTGTGGGGCTTTGCTCTTATGCAGTGCCTGAGGTTGGAGGCTGCAAGCTGAGGTAACAGGAACACACCAGTACTGCCGTGCCTGGTACCAGTGCCGTAACTGGAAGGATGGAAAGAGTTACAGAGCACATCAGGAATGCAGCACAGGTACCTGAGGGCGGTGCCAGAGCCCTCAGGAAGGAGTGAAGGGAACCCAAAGCACTGTGTGTGCCTTGGTCCCTCACCTGGCTACTGAGATACCTCCAGCAATGGATCCAGGATGTGAATGCAGGAGCATAAGGAGGGAGGCCGGCACGCAACCTGCATGGCAATGAAAAATAGCTGAGATGATCTGTATAGCTGTCACAACATCCAGAGATAACACAAGTGTAAGTGAGGACACAGACACAGTGTCTGCACTGGGCTGAAGGCCAAATGACCAGCTTGTTACACTGCAGTGGATCATCTAATTTCATTACCCCAGGAGTGTACAAACAAGGAGTGTTACCTGAATACCTTAAGAGTGCAGGACTGTCTGCTATATCTACACCTTCAAGGAGCAGATATCAAGAGAGCATCACGCCAGTTGGTGAGATCCAAACCCATTCCCATTAGCACACAGAAAGACACAGGAAGCAGCAGAACTGGGGAAGCAGGCTAGGTGAAGGAGTTACTGCTGCTTGGTCCTGTTTCTCACCTGTCTCCCTGTGCTGCATTAACAGCTTTGCATTTCTTCATGCCTGTTCCCTTTGATCCCTTCTGCCTCTGGTCTAGTTCAGGTCAGGCTGTACCACCACCACTCTCCCAATTATTCCTCCCCATCTGAGCTTTCATTCTGCTTGCCTGCTCCCTCTGATCTAACACTGTAAGTAACCTGGGATGGGAAACCAGGCGCCTATGCAAAGTGCCATACAGTTTATGGCTCTGCATGAAGGCTTTACGATGGTAAAGGCTTCAGACAACAAGAGACTGGCAGCAAAGCATCAGATCTCAGTGTGACAGACATACCCACAGTTGTTCACTGCCATGAGATCTCCCACGAGAAGAAATGGATACGTCAGCATGCTCATTGCAATCTGAAAGCACAGAAGTCTGGTAGCACCTCTCACGTTCACGACAAAAGCAGTATTTCTAGCTTTTGCATGTGAGTTAAGTTATCCTCATCTTTGGATGCAGAGACTTCAAACGCACCCGCTCTGCCCCCAGACCACGAGCTCTCACCCCACAGACAGCAGGAGGCAGAGGGATGCTGTGGCAGTTGTCTACGTACCCCCATCACGAATTTCGTGTAGCTCCGGATCACCGACGCCTGGCTGAACTGAAAAGAGAAGCCAAAGGATTATGGAGGAGGTGGATACAACCAGGCTGTCCCTGTCGCTTCGTGACATCCCTCTGAGCCTGAGATCAGTCTGTTCCAGTGTTAGTCTCCCCTCCCCATTGATGCCTTGCGGCTCAAAGTGCTCGGTGCAGATTCCCAAGCCCTTTGCAGGGCAGTTCCACTCACGTTATCATCCACTGCGTAGGTGTTGATGAAGTGAGCCAAGAGATTGCAGCACCAGAGGAAGATGACATCCCCCAGGATGTGAGGGACTAAACCTCTGCAATGGTAAAAACACAGGTGTGAGGTGCAGAAGCATCCAAGCCCCCCCTTCCCTCTGCCAACACGGAGGAATCCCACTCCCCAGAATGCATCTTTATTGTGGGAGGAGCTGAAAGGAGAAGGGGAGACTTTAAGGAAGGGCTCCCGTGGACCTCAGGGGATCGGTTTTGTTTCCTGCCCTGATTGCTGCAGCAGTAGAAAAGCAGTTGGGAAAACATGCTCTGGAGCAGCCTGCTCCACTTGCTGTTTTATTGTCAAGAGCATTTCAGAGCCCAGAGAACTGGTGCTGGTCTGCTTGCAGCAGGAGATTGCTGCAGATACCAGGGGAACCAAGTCAGTCCATCCACTGAAATATCTTCCTCTCTAGCTGGACATGCCCTCAGAGTGAGCGTGTGCCACTGTCGTGGCTACGTAGAGGTTGTCAGGCAATGAGAAATAAATGGTCCTCAATGATTGTAAGGGAATTCAGATGGCACTAGGAGCGCTGAGAGCAAAACAGCAACAGTTTGGTCCTGCAGCTGTAGTTTGTGTTCCCCTTGTGGCAGTGTGATTTCCTAGCGGAGTCGCAGAGCATACAGAACTTCAAAGCCCTCTTGAGACATTCTGCATTATGTTAAAACCTTTCCTGTGAACCACGAAGTTTAATTAGGCTACCAACAGTGTTTATTTCATTGGAAAGAGGGAACACAGCCAGCTCCTTCCATGGGCTGTTTTTTAGGGAGCTGGAGGAGAGGGGACTGAGGCTGAAGCTCAGGGAGCATCGTGGAGGAAGTGGCATTCAGGGGTGATGTGGAGCTGCAGATCCTGCAGAACAGCTGTAGGCTGCAAGTTAGATGTGGTGACACCTGGTTAAGGGGGGTCTCTGTAGACCTCCAGCTCTTTCTCCGTGGGGAAAAATAGCGAGGCACCCTGTTCACCTCTTGCTGATGTGTTTCTGTTTCATCTGAAAGCTCAGATTTTGTGATTCCAGAGCCAAACACATCAGGCCTGAAAGCCCCTCCTGAAATTTCAGAGCTGCCTTTACCATGATTGAAGTAATAAAGCAAGTTACCTCTGCACCAGGAGCAGAGGCAGCAGGAAGCTCTGTCTTACAGATGTGAGAAAAAGTCAAGAAGTGTTAATTAAGAACTGAAGCAAGAAAGTGTCTGCTGGACCTCTGCTTTAGTGATGCTGTCAGTTCACCATGCTTCACACAATGGGGTCTGAGCTCCTTTGGGCAAACAGTTGCTCCTGCACTGTGCAGTGTTCTGCTCCTATCAGATGGGCAAACCTGCTGCCAGCATGAACCACCTGTTCATTACAAGCACCCATGGTGCTTTTCAGAGGAATGTGCTTCTTATCCAGGCCTTGGCTCTTATTTCAACAAGGAGCCTCATTGTTGCACTTGAACTCGGTGCCTGTTGCACAAACAAATGCTTTAAATGCTTCTTTGCTGAAACACAAAGAAGCACGAGCAGCGTGGGAGGGGTAAAAGCTCAGTAAAAATACTGAGTTTTCCCTGGGCTCTAAAAGTATGATTGAAGATAAGATCAGGGGAAAACTAATGGTCAAACTGGAGCTCTGTCAAAGGCACAGACTCAAGCTCTGCTCACAGGAGTGATGTGAGAGTCCTGCAGGCAGACAAGGCTACTGGTAGGAGGGAGCTCAGGGCGTCATCAGCACCTATGGGAGAAGATATTCAAACAACTCACGTACACAAAGAATCCCAGGATCCCTTCCTCCTTGAATATCCTGCCAATAGCTCTGAATACACCGCTGCCAAGAAAGGAGGAGAGCTATAAGCATGTGCAGGTTGTCCCTCCGACAGCTTCCCTTTCTATCAGCACTTAAAACAAAAAGGCAGGAATCTCACTGAGTGATCAGCAAGGTGCACTGCAGCCACCAAAACACCCAGTGGCACAAAGCTGAACTGAAAGGGATTCCAGGGGCAGAGTCCAGCCTTCCCACATCCCTTCACCCCGCCGTCATCCACCCTCTAAACACAGCTCAGATTCATTTTTCTGTCTCCCAGACCTCCTGGATTACCACATCCCCCACAGCCTGGGAGCACCAGGCAGGCCTGACTTCAGGACTTGTGTTTTTCTGTGCCCAAAGTCTCCACAACTGCAGCCACTCACCTGTATTTGACTTCCCGGCCGACAAACTGGACCATGCAGCGCATAGAGATCACTAAGAGGAAAGAAAGGAAGGAGTTTGGGTTGCAATGGATGCAAAGGAGAATGTAACCCAGTCTTTTTTGCCAGCCCTTCATGCAGGTCAGCTCCTCTCAGTGGCCCTCATCAATGCAAGGCACGTTACATACTGGTCCTTTCCCTCAGTATGTAGTTATGGGTCGGTTCCTCACGGCCAAAATATCAGCCATCTCAACACTGGGACCCACATCTGTTCTGTGGTTTCATACAAAGCCGCTTCTGTTTACGTGATGAGCTTCTCTATCAGAGTTTTGGGGGCTGTGCTCAGTCAGGGCAGGGTTCCTCGGCCTGGGGAGGAGGGGCAGAGGGACAGGACTCACCGTGCAGCGGATGTGACACAACCCGGGACACGCACTGCATCATCATCTCGTGAGATGTCTGCAGAGAAAATGGCATGAAAAGTTCCTCCTGTGCACACTGGGTCCCTTCCCTCGGTGCAGCTCAACCCACTTCAGATCCCAGACCTGCTTTTCAATCTGTTATTTTTGTGGCAAGCCTCTATTTCTATGAAATATTTCACATCTGCGTACAGTGGCTCCTAAATGCTGCAGCCTTTTTACCTGGAATTCCTCCACAAGTAATTCCACCCACAAGCCACATTTTAAGCTGCCTCTGCTTTCAAGGCACATCCCCAGTGTGATCTCCCTCATCACTCGCTGACGCTGCACGTCCATTTCTCACCTCTTTCACCACTTTCCTAAGGGAAGTCTTCACATCATCCTTGTTAGACACGTGTTCCATGTCCTCCAGTGGAAAGGCCTGAGGAGGAAGAGAAGAAACACAAGGTCAAAACCGATGGAGATGCTGACCTGCAAGCCCTTGACTTCTGAAGAGGAAAACCATGAGCTTCTAAAATGCACAGGAAAAAAAATCCAGGAAAAAGGAAAGACGGGGGAAGGATGGGTGGAAATAAAAATGGCTGAAAACCGTCACGAAACTGCTTGCCAAAGACAAAAGGCAAATGGTTGCTCAAGTTAAACTAAGATTCCCACTAAAATAAGTTTTGGGGATATGGGTATTTTTTTCCTTTTGTCCTGGAGGACTATTAGGAGCCATGAGCAGCGAGCACGTGCAGTCATGGCTGGTTGCAAGCATGTGCAGCCTCTGTGGCTCTGCTGCAGTAGCACTGGCTGCCCCGACAAGCTGATTTATGGAGAGAGAAGCCGACCTTTACCTTCTTTACGCTCCCCCTGGTGATGGTTGATAAAGTGCTTGAGATGAGGCGAGGAGTAAGGCCACGGAAGAGGCCTCTCTTCCCATCCACTTTCACAATGTGTCTGGCTGGGTAAGAAAACACCAAGCTGCTGTCAGTTGAGAAGCAGTTGAGCCACAGAGAGCACTCTGCCCTGCCAGAGCACAGGCTGCATGGGTTGGCCACAGGAAGACTCACCGTAGGTGAAGAAGCCAGGCAGGTACAGTACTTTCCTTCCCAGTACATTTCTTCCAACAGTTGGAGGTAGTGGTTCGTGCCCGACCTGCAGAACAAACCCTGTGAGCAGATCCCCAGCTCAGTGCTGGCAGTCCTGAACCTGACAGACCGCGTGGCCTCCATCCCATCTGCCTGAGCTGCTGAATGGCTGTGTCCCCCCCATCACCCTATGACAGATGGGGGTCTCGTGACACAGGCAGTCCCTTTCCTGTTACACAGCGTTCCTGGGGTTCAAGAGGCCCTCATCCCCCCCATTTTATAAGGGTTTCTATTACAGAGGGGATCTCAGGATGAAAAGGGATGACGACCCACAGTGTCATATAAAGATTTTCAATCCTTTGTTCTATAGCAATCCCCACTGTGTCAGTATTTTCATCTTCATCCCATTCTGCGGGGTCCTCACTCCTGTCACATACAGGGCTGTGCATGATTTCCTATTCCCTATTACAGAGCTGTCCCTGATGCAGAAATATCCTCATTTCCCCAAGGGCTCCCCAGCTTATAGGCACCTCCATCCTCGCAGTGACAGCTGGGATCTCCGTGACACGGGGACCGTGGTGACAGATTGCCATCCCATCTCACACCCTGTGCCCACCCCCCCCACACACACATTGTAAGGAGCTCCCATCGCTACATACGGGGCTTCCCTTTGCACGGAGGTCCTCACACCTCATCCCGTAACCCTCTGTAAGGAGGAAGGGGTTCCCCATCGTTACACAGGCCGTCACCCCATAGAGATGCCCCACTCCCCGGGATGTCCTCATCCCCTCGCACACCGCTGCCAACACCGCAGAGTTCCTCGTTCCTCCCTGCCCCCAAACGGGGGTCTAGGCTCCCACACACCCCCCCACACACACAGCCCCGGACCTGGACGAGCAGCTTGACGTAGAGCAGCGGGTGGCTGGCGGCGGCGAGCCCGGCACCCAGCGCCACGAACAGCCCCTCGGTGCCCTCGGCCCGGCCCGGCCCGGCCACGGCTCCAGACCCGCCGCCAGGGGGCGCCCGCGCCACCGAGGGCAGCGGTGCTTCGCCCGCCATGGCCCCGCCGCCGCCGCCACTGCGCCTGCGCCGCGCCTTGCGTCGTGCGTCACCGCGCTGCCGGGAGCGGTGGGCGGGACCATAATGCGAGGCTGGGGGGGGGGGGGGGGGGAGGGACAGCTGGCAGAGCGCGGGGCGTAAGGCGGCCGTGACGGTGCCTGGCGCACCGTTGAGATGGCATCTGTGTATGCCCTTGTTCCTGTGAATATTTTATGCTCCCGTTTCATGTTTGTGTTCTATTTAAAATATTGTATTCGCGTAGTCGTAGTCTGGTTCCTCCGCTCGCCCAGGCAGCTCTCGGCCGCGCTTTTAAATTAACCCGGTGCGGGACAGCATAGTGCGATCTATCCGTGCGCGGCGGGAGCAGTAGAGACGCGGTCCTCCGGCTTTCCTAGAGCGGCCGCGTAGGGCGAGTCTTCCATCATCCCCTGCGCGCTCCCGCCCTGCTCAGCGACTTCCGGTGCGCGCTGCGACTTCCGGCGGAGTGTGTGGCGGCGAGAGCGTGTGGCGGCGGCGGGCCGGGAGCAGCCATGGCGTACCGCGGGCAGGGCCAGAAGGTGCAGAAGGTGATGGTGCAGCCCATCGTATCCTTCTGCGGAGGGGCGGGGCCGGGGAGGGGTCTGCGGGGCGGGGCTGACGGGGAGCGGAGGGTAGGAGAGGCCCTGCGGGTCCCGCGCCGTACCGCTGAGTCGTTCCGTCCTTAACGCCGCGCTCAGAACCTCATCTTCCGCTACCTGCAGAACGTGAGTACCGCGGGGCGGGGGGTCGCGTTTCGGTTTGTGGCTTTCGGATGAACGGGTGCTGTTCGGGTGCCGTTCCCCTTTTGCACGGACGTCTCTGTACCAGGAGCTGCCCCTGCCGTCGGGCGTGCAGCGATGTTCCTTTGTGACTGTTTCAAAATGCACGTTCTTGTGTAGCACAGACCCGATAGCCCAGCGCCTACAAGGTTCTGCTGTTGGAAGTTGCTCCTTGGAATGTTTCAGAGCTGTTGGTTGCAAGGATTTCTTGTTGGTTGCAAGGCTTTCTTAATGCACAGAAAGAACAGCATTGCTTGAAGTGTTTGTTTTTGCTCACCCCATCGTTTTGCAGAGGTCCAGGATCCAGGTGTGGCTTTATGAGCAGGTGAACATGCGGATAGAAGGCTGCATCATTGTGAGTACCAACATGTCCCCATGTTACTGTTGGTTTTCCCACAGATTCCCCCCTTGCTTGCTACCAAGAAAAAGTAGTGCAAGGGAAAAAACTCTTCATACTTCTCTGATGATTAGTCTTAATGTGCAGCCTGTGTTAGGAGAACCAACGATAGTTGGTACTGCTGTTGCTGAACTGAGTGCTTTTGCTGCTGATTTTTAGGGCTTTGATGAATATATGAACTTGGTGCTGGATGATGCAGAGGAGATTCACTCCAAAACAAAATCAAGGAAGCAATTGGGTATGTGAGCATGTCTGTGTAGCCTGAATGGTGTGTGCTGTGAAGACTGGTTGGGTGAGCCTTGCTGGTAGCAGCACTTGAAGGTTAAAAACACGTGCCAGGTGTTGGTGTGGAAGTACAGTGGGCAGGTGCTGGCTCAGTCTTTGTTTCTGCTGTTTTTCAAAGGTGGTGATTTTGTGAATGTAAAGCAGAATCTCTGTGCCTGATGCGAGTTGTTATCTTCCAAATGTTGTCTTTGTGCACATGAGGTGTCTGGAGGAATCGGTCAAAACTCCTTTTGGCTGCTTCTAAACTTGGTAGCCCTGAGCGATTCTCACACCTGCTGGGTCAACTCTGAGCCAAAGCAGGAGCCCCTCGAGTGCTGGTGTTTACTATTTACCACTGCTGGCAAAGATAAAAACTGTCTGTGATGAGGGATGCGTTGATTTAGATCAGGATTTTAGCAGGGACAGCATGCTGCTGGAGCAGAGATGGGGAGCTGAGAGTGGGTTGTGACTGTGGGGCTGCCAGCAGGAAAGGGGCTCAGTGCAACCCTTCCCTCTATAACAGGGGCATCTTCTTGCAGGGATCTTCTGTCGTGAGATGTTTTTTGAAAGCATGAGGTGGTTCTGGGATCTCTCTAATCCCCCGTTTCCTTTCTGTGTTGCAGGTCGGATCATGTTGAAAGGGGACAATATCACTCTTCTACAAAGTGTTTCTAACTAGAAGTCGCTGTTCTTAGAGCAGTGATTGCAGTTCAGAGTGGCTTGAGTGAATGAAGAAGGTTCTGGTGGGAGCCTGGCCTGCTGGTAGATAGAAAGTTACGTGTAACTGGCATTGCATGCTGAGCTAAAAGTCTCCTCCTTTTGTGGGAGTAATTTTTTTGTAGTTTGAAACAATACAGGATGTATTTCCCAAATAAATGTTTTTCACCTTGATTGTTAAATGTAAATCTGCTTGTTTTTATTCTTGTCTTTCTGTGACTGGAGAAGGCAGGGAAGTATCCATCAAGTGATCTGCTGTAGATCTGATAAGTTCCTGATCATTCTGTGCTTTTTGGGAAGCTATATGTGTAGTGTGAGGCAGGATGGGCTCTGGTGTCATTGGCAGACTTGAGCTTGCATGATCCTAATTAAGTTTGTTAGAGGTTTTACATGCAGTTGTCACAGCAACTGGTTTCCTTGGGTGCTTTCTGATAAATGAGATTTAATTTCTTGGATGTGTTAATTATGGATCAGTCAGCGAAAGCATCTTAGTGGGTTGGTGATGGATTTGAGGCTGTGGTGTAGGGATCCAGCATCACAAATTTATTAATCCGTGTACACTGGTAAAATGTGGTTGGAGAGGGCAGCTGGTTGGGATGAAATCTGTAATTTCTTCTTTGGACAGCGTGTCTAGATTAAATCCTTGTGCTGTTAAGGAAGCTGGGATGTCAGACGTGGCTGGGTTTTATCACTTGATTCACTTTTATCATCCTCTGAAGGATCTGTGCTGTTTAAGTTTCCATAAGAGAGCTGAGTTTCTCAGTCCATCAGCCAGAGATCAGTTCCCTGGCTTGCTTGGGACGAGGAGCCCCCTCTTGTTTTTCTGATTCAAAAAAAAAACCACCCCAGAAATAGGAAATAGGCTGTGATTGTAACTCAGAGGCTTTGAGTGAGGGATATTTATGATGCAGTGCCTGCAAAATTCACTTGCCTGCGTCTCTTTGTTGTTATGGAAAGGTCGTAGCCTTGAGACTTTTACCTGAAGTTAATTACTTGAGTTAATCATTTTTTCTTGCCAAGTTTATGTGGGAATGGAGGAATGGAGTTGGGAAGAGCTTATTTAGCAGGGGGTCTGGTGCCTCGTGACACCTGGGTCCAGTTTAGGGCCACTGAAGTAGCATTGACTCAGAGCCTGCCAGGGTCTGTCCTTCCTCCTCTGTGAGATTTGGGCATTAGGAGAAGCAGCTCATTCTTATCAGTAGTGCTGCTGCCAACTCCAAATTGTGCACTTCGAGTCGCTGTAATGCTTCCTAGAGCTCCTCTGCTCTCTGATGTTATCAAATTAGTGCGAATGAACATCAATAGAGGAGTAGGCTACTGATGGGAGGAAGGAAGTCCAAGCTAATCAGCTCTGAAGCATCTCGTGATAAGGCACCAAAATAGGCAGTAATTGTGTGCAGGGGGGAGTTGCAGAAGAAAATGAGAAGCTCCCAAGCAGGAAGCCACACAAACTGCAGAGAGCCTGCAGGAGAGTCCGAGTGTGTGCGAATGGCCAGGAGGAAATGCAGCCCCATTGTTTGTGCAGTGCTGCAGCCTGAGAACAGAGCTTCTAGGCATTAGCAGCACACAGATGGGGCTCAAAAACAATTCTGCTTTAGCCGAACTGCCTTCCCAAGAAGCACTTGTCTGTCCTCATAAAAACCACAGGGCTGACTCATCTAAATGCTTGCCGAATTTTTTATTTACTTATTTTTATTTAAACCCCGAATCCTTTTAGACTCCTGAGCTTTTCCAAGCTGGAGGCAGCCAGAAGGTAATGTTTCATCGGGCAGTGCCAGATGGAGAGTGACCCGAGCTGGCTGCACAAGAGTGCCTTAGACAGAAGAGGGTGCTGCGGGCTCGGCCAGCTCCCTGCCCCTCCAGCTAAGTGTCACAAGCCTCCGCAGGAACACAGAGTTCCCCAGCATTCAAGCAGCTTCGTTGGCTCCCAGACAATCTGGAAGAAAGCAAACCGGGCTGTCTGGCGTGGAGCTGTGCTCTGTCGGGGCAGCAGCCAGGCAGGGTTGCCTTTTCCTTCCCTGGTGGTGCCCTCTCCTTGTCCCTGCTGAGGTGTCCTGCTCCTGGAGGGAATGAGGAGCACGAGGCAGTGAGGAGGAGCAAGGTAGAGTGAATGCTTACCACTGAGCTCTGTGTTTAGAAAGCTCCCCTTGCTTGGCTTGCTGCTGTGTTGAAGCCTGTTGTGTTTGCTTTTGAAAGTACTTTTCTATAATGTGCAAATTCCTTTCCCTCCAGTGCAGGAGTGAGGAGGAGCGGGGTGGGACTGGGGCTGGCTGAAGGCTCCTTATGAAGGAGCTTCTGTGAGGTGACGTTATAGGAGTGCCCCGGCGTGCTGGATTGTGGTGATGTTGTGCTGTGTCAAAAAAATACCATACAGTCGTGTTCACACATCTCCAGGAAAGAAAATGCCCGTGGTGGAGATGGCCAGAGAAAGTTTTCTCACCACGAACAGCACTCGGGTAGCTGTCAGAAGCAAAACTTGAGCTGATGGTAGGTTCAGATACCACCTCCTCTTCCCTTTCGTAGGAATAGAGCTGGTTCTTTAAAAATGAGTAATAGAGACCTGTGTCTGTGCTAACGATGGCACAGGTTGAGTAAGACAGAGATCTCTTGGTATGGCGTTTCATTTTGAGACCATTGCTTTGATTGTGGCAGGCAGATGACGGCCCTCTCAGGTCCAGGTGGGGCTGTGCAATGTTTGCTTTGACTTTTTTTTCTTTTTCTTTTAGCTGTTATCGCCTTTAACAGCACTGGAAGGTACCTTGAGTAAATGTTTGCCTGCTGTCTCCGCTGTTGGCTTCAGGGTTCTGGGAAAAAGACTGCATTTCTTCCCTGCTGCACTTGGGAATTGCTTGCCCTGGCCCAGCCCAGTCTTTTCATGGGACTGTGCTTGTGAAACAGCCCCGAGCAGGGAGGCAGAGTGCTCCTGGATTTCTTGAAGTGGAGTTTCTCAGTGGTTCTCTGCTAGGATGTGGGATGATTGTGCTGGAACCTGGATCTCGGAACCAGCCAACGGCCTCAGTGGAGTCACCAGCAGTGCTTCTGTGTGTGCTTTCCCCTGCTCTTGAAA